CTTTTATTACAAATTTTATGCATATTTGAGACCAGTCAAAGTATGCAATTAAAATAATTCATGCAAAGTATTTCACGATACACATATTTGGTAACAGTTTTACAATAATTTAACGGTAGCTAAGTTTTCTTTTCTTTTTAATAACTTACATTTGCTTTTACAACAAATTTTATGTGGATTTGTGTCTAGTCAAAATATGCAATTAAAATAATCAATACAAAATAACTCTTCAAAATCGTTAAGCAATGTTAACAATTATATTCTGGTAAGCACAAATCATGTATCTCTCTTTAGCCAATAAATTTAATGAGTTTTTATAGTACCAAACATTAGAAAATGATTTTTTTTTCTTATAAAAAGCATGTTTGTGCATGAAATTGCAATAGTAATCGAACAAAAGGATTAGGTGTTTAAATTTTATCCTCTGGGCCAAGAACCATCATAACCGAACTTGTGTTATTATAATAAAAAGTTTTAGATCTTTTATTTAAAAAATACTTTTTAACTCTAATATAAGTATCTTAATGCAATTACCGTATAAATACAAAAATGATTGAGGGATGGTGAGTGACAACCTAGCAGAAAAACTACGTTATTTTTATAGTTTACTACAATACTTTATTACAAATATAGTTACCTACTGGTACAACTCTTTTTTTTTTCAAATGTAGCGACTATTAACAACTTTCGAAATATATTAATTATATACAACTATGGGAGACGAACTTTGCCAGAGAACTTAATTTACATCCATGTTAAAAGTGGTTTTAAATACAAAATTGGCTTATAGTAATAAACATAATCATGAAGAATCTGTCTGAACCAGCCTGTTATTCTAAAACATTTTCTTTTCGAATTTGTTCATTTAATCTTCAACTTTTTCTGCCTTTTTTGACAGCGAATATATTATTTAAGAAATGCAAGGAAATTATCAAATATTCGCAATTTTGTTAAGTGTTTAATACTCTTTTTTCTCTAAGAAATTAAGTCCATCAAATATGTGCTCCCTTCCTTTGAAATCAATGTTTCACGAATAAACATTTGTATGTGATAATGTGTGTGAAAAATGATTAAAAATGGGGAATGACACCCTAGCAGTGGTCGAAAAAATACATTATTTTTTAAGTTTACTGCAACTACAATTACTTTATTACAAATATAGTTACGTACTGCAACAATTCCTTTTTTTTTTTTAATGTAGTGACTATTAACAACATTCGAAATGTAGTAATTGCTTAACGACTTTAAGAAGACGAACTTTGCCGGATAACTTAATATACACCTATGTTCCAAATGGTTTTGAAAATACAAAATTGGCTTATAATGAACATGAGGAATTATGAAGAAATATTTATGCGTGCTTACATGAGCCAGTCTGATATTCTAAATTATTTTTGTTTTGTTTTAGAACTTGTTCATTTAACCTTCAATTTTTACTGCCTTTTTTGACAGCGAATATTTAATTCAAGAAATACTAGAAATTATCAAATATTTGCAATTTTGTTAAGCGTTTAATGCTCTTTTGTTTTCTCTAAGAAATGAAATACATAGAATATGCGTTCCCTTCCTTTGAAAAAACATCATTATTTCACGAATGTATACATTCGCATGTGATAGTGTGTGTGCATCAAGGGTGCCGGCAGAATAATATAAAAGGGGGTGCAACCCTCTAACAAACTACCCTCCCCTCCCCCCCAAAAAATTAAAATGTTCTGCTATTACATTTTGTTTTCTTAATACATATACTTTCATCGGTTCATTTTTTCAGGATGCATTTCTTCATTGTTAGCAAGATATTTTAAAAAAAGTACGAATTTTTTGTACTTACAAATTTTGCCCAGAGGCGATCGCGCTGGCGCTGGCATAGCTACTGACTTGGAAGCACAAATAACTACAAACAGTAGTTTCGTATACTAACGTGTTTGTGCACGCTTAACATTGGTATTTATTATGTTGATGAAGTTTTACAGTTGCGAGAAGTCAGCTTGTGTTATACACCTTGTGAACTGAATAACTAATAGAAAATATAATATTAGTTACATTTTATTAAATGAAATTTAAAAATATAGCTTAGATATCTGCCAAGTTTGTGAATGCTCAGTGTGCATAAGAAAAGAATCAAAGATGACTCAGAATTCATTGAAAAAGTTAAAAACAGATTTGGACAGCAAACAAGACGATTACGATTCTTGTTCGATTAAACAATTTTTTAATTGTTATGTATCAATAATTACTTAATTATTTGTTTTTCCATAAAAATATGTTTAATAAAAAATTTTTATAACAAATTTTTTCTGTATCTCTTTAATTGTTTTTTAAAAAAAAGCCAGGGGGGTACAACTGCACCCCCTTGCACCCCGCTACCGGCGCCCTTGGTGTGCATTCACATGATGAAATGCCTATTTGAATGATGAATGTAAACATGTGAAAGTGATAAATTATCTATACTTCGTAATGGCTAGTTTACGAAGTAATTCTAAATACGGATTAATTGTACTTAATTCTAAATTTTTGAGCAGCGTAATTCGTGAGCAGAACGAACTCATGAAGATTTGTATCCATCAAATTCTAAAAATTTGTTCTTTAGAACCTTTTTTCTCTACTAAACTAATGTTAAAAGTAGTTGCTAGGAATTGCAACAAACTACTGTTTTTTGTATCGTATTTCTTACTACACTAATTTTTCAAAGAAAAGTAGCGCAGAAAAGCACTACACTACAAAAAAGCAACGAGTACTGTCGTTTCACAACTTTTCGTCTCTTCTTCCGAGCATTGCACCCTTGTATATGCACAATTAAATAATTCGATGGAAAATATCAATTAGATAGTTCCCATGATGCTGCCTTTTAAAAAAAATTAAAAAAAGTTAAAAATGAAAATAATTGTACGTAATAATAATAGTTAGGAGTGGCAAAAGAGAAACTTCATCTACTGATGAAAAACACTGTAAATGGTACAAATTAGTGTACGTGGCAAAATAAATGAAGGTTGCATCATTATATGAATATGTTTGTTACTCCAAATCATTTTATACAGAAAAAGCGAACGTTTTAGCATAGAACAGGGAAATAGAAAAATACAAAGCTTTGTTTTAAATGTCAAGTGAACTGAGTCAGTAAGTTCAAACTTTATTAATAAAAGATGATTTAAATTTTTGTTAAACTTAATTTATTGATTTGTTCTCATTAAATTATACTTATTTTGTCAAATACGTTATTATAAAAAAAGGGAATTAAAAATCTTATTTCTTAGATTTGATGTTTTTATTAAATTTTCAAGCTAATGAAAGTATTTTTTAATAAAATAAATATCTTAATTATGATTTTTTAAGTTTTTTTTGATTTTATTGGTTAAAAAAATTATTGCTCCACCTATTAAAAGTAAGCGCAAAACGATCCTGTTTTTTTTTTTTTTTTTTTTTTTTTTTTTTTTTTTTTTTTTTTTTTTTTTTTTTTTTTTTTTTTTTNTTTTTTTTTTTTTTTTTTTATAATGTCATTTCGTTTTTTTTTCTTCATGTCATTTAAGTGATAAATTCTAATTATTTTTTAAATTTTTTACTTTTAATTAATTTGTGAAACAGAAATTTAACTTTTTAAACTTTTTTTTTTTTTTTGCTTTAGACTGACATACGAGGGTTAAAAGATTATAAATTGTTTTAGTTTCGTTATATGAAAAACAGTCACTATATTTAAACATGGAAATGTAAAATATTAAAAAGCAATAGTCAAACATATAAAACTTTTTACTTTAAGCTTCGAACTTGTATTCGCTTTTTTTATTCACTACTTTTGAGTTGAGTAAATTATGCCAAATTATTCATGAAGTTTAATTTTAAATTTATGAAAGTTGAAGCGAAACAAGGCAAAACGGTGAGTCAACATTCTTTAAAATTATGCAATCTTATTTAAACAAAAACTAGTCAATTGCATTCTCTTCATGTATGCCTTTATTTTGTTTTATTTTTTAATTTTATCTAAGTAACAAAAATAATACTTTACATATTAGCTTTCAACAAAATTTTTTTTCCAGAACAAAAAAAAATTACTTTGCAATGTTTGCTTGAATTCTAGTGAGCTGATTTCAAATATTAATTTCATGTGAGTTCAAAAAATAACTTAAATATTTAAAAAATTTCAAGGAACAACAGAATTTGTTAAAAAAAAATAATAAAGTTTGTATGATTAGTTTACATTATGAACAAAATATTCATAAAACCTTACATATGTGTTTTACCTAAGGCTACTATACTATGAGGGGCTCTAGTTTTACCTAGTTTGTTGACACATTATACGTAAAAAGTAAAATAAACAAAATTTTGAACTTTAAATTAATAAAATTTATTAAAATAAATAATTTCAAAAAATAATGACTTAATCTTGAAGGAAATCCCCACATAAATCTTGAAGAGAAAAAAAAAAAAAAAAAAAAAAATANAAAAAAAAAAAACGTAGATTGCCATTAAAATGAATATATATATTTCAAATATTTTGAAATTCCAAATAATATTTTTTAAAAATTAATAGTTAAGTATGCGCTTTTTTTTTCATCATTTTATCCTTGCTGTACTTTAACTTCTTTTTTTTCCCTCGTTTCAGGAAACAAAAGTATTTCCCTTTTTATTTAAAACAAAAGGAAAATAAAAAAAATTAAAAGCGCCAATAATTAATAAAATTCAATTTCACTTTCATGAAATTCACAACTATGTATTTTCCACCATGAATATATTTATAATATTTATGATCAAATAAAAGCACAATAATGTCTAGGTAATTTATGTATTTCATGTAAAGTTTCAACTTTATTCAAAATGTATATGTTTAATAACATCTTAAACAATTTCATTTTTAAAAGCTTGTAAGTAGAATTTATAATTTCGAAACTAGTAAAAGCAGAGAAGAGAGTCGTTTTTGTGATGTTTGTAACCTCTTGAAAACAATAAATAAATAAATGAATGTGTAAAGTTAACTGTAACTGTGACAGAAATTAAGTAACACGGTAGAATCGAAACAACTAAACTTCTGTTGAAAACACCGAAAATGTCAACAAATGCCTCGTCGTCACGTCACGTTAGTTTTGTTTTAATATTATATGATTTTTACTAGATATGCAGCATATGGGTTCGGCATATGTAATTGTCACTCTATAATAAGAGTTATAAAGTCTACGGTAAGAAGTTTCTTTAAGCTTTATGTTTGTTTTAATAATTTAAATAAAAAAATTGGTTATAAATAGGTTCTGTGGTGTTTGTACTATTTTCATACATTAATGTATTCTCACAAAGTTATAAAAAAATTTATATTATCACGTGTTTATTTTTATTTATGTTATTTGAATTGGGGATATTTCTGTATCGTGATCTTTCACGCCTTGTAAATTCACCAAGGCATTTTCTTTATCATTTTTCAATACTTTTGTGATATTTGGATATATGTTGAAAATTCGCCACATTGCCAAAAAATTTCTACCGTGCACTTTTTAAAATGAGTCAAACTCAATTTAAATCCATAGATAGATAAAAATTGTGGTCAGATATTGGCAATTAAGATTTTTAAATGTGTTTATTAAAAGGGCGCTCATTTATTATTTTTTGTTAACTTAGGTTTCTACTGCCAGTTTGTGTGTTAAAGTCTTTTATATTTATTTTTATAAAATAATTTAATATTGTTTTACAAATAAATCTGTGATTATTGACACTTCATGATTAGTATAAACTAATGACATTCCATTATTTCAAGATAATTCAAGTATTTTAGTTTCTTACTAGTTCATCTTTTAATCAAGCCTATTGCATCTTTAAAGATAATTAAAAGTTTGAAGAAAAGTAAAAAATTAATCAATCCTGTTGTTAAAAGTTCAAAAAAAACTTGCTGAAGCTTATTAAGTTTATTTTTTACCCTATGAGGCAGTATTTATGTGAAAAATATTATTGGTCAATAAACTTGATGCATACTAAGTAGTCTTCTTAATTCTATTCTTATTTAATTCTCTTACAGTTGCGCATTCTAGTTATTCTTTTTTTCTTGAAATCTTCTGTATTATATATTCAGAGGTTTTGATGATATGAAATTAAATGATAATCAACAACGATGAAAGGAAATAACAAACGTAACTCTCTAATGGCTAAAAATACTAAGTTGTTTTATAAAATAACTGAAACTCTGTATGTTACAAACCACTTTTGCAATTGAGTTGTATGCCTATTAATACATTTTATGTGTTAGTATTTTAAATCTTAGTGTTGATAAGTATTTATATGAATGAAAAATTGAAGTTTCTTTTATTTACTAGGTGCCTCTTAAGGTTTTAAATTCTGGAAATGGAAAGCGAAAGCCCGAGAATGAGAGGAACAAATGAGCAGAGAACAAATCATGCCAGCGTGCATGACGAGGACACATTACTTAGCAATCAAGAACTTGGACCTACAACTCAAGGGACAGTTTTGCGGAATGATAGACTTAACATAGCAATTTTATTTTTTTTATACATTCTGCAAGGAATACCTCTTGGACTGGCTGGAAGTATTCCGATGATTTTACAGAATAGAAATATTAGCTACAAAGAACAAGCTATATTTAGTTTTGTAAATTGGCCTTTTAGTGTGAAATTATTGTGGGCCCCTGCTGTTGATTCATTGTTTTGGAGTCGAGTTGGCAGACGGAAAACATGGCTGGTGCCTACGCAGTACTTTATTGGACTGTTTATGATTGTTTTATCTACGTCAGTTTCATCACTGCTAGGAGATGATAATAGTGTGCCTAATGTTTGGCTATTGACAGCTGTATTTTTTTGCATGAACTTTTTAGCCGCTACTCAAGATATTGCAGTTGATGGCTGGGCTCTGACCATGCTTTCCAGGTTAATACTTTTAAGTTTATTAAACCTCGTTATATTCAGGTGAAGTTAAAGTAAATTTTGTGCTGTGTTAAGAATGAAGCAAAGCAATGTAAAATGTGCACAAATAATGGCAGAAAAGGGGAGATTTCGTATCGTGATCTGTGGCAGAATAATCGCCAAGTCTTGTCAACTTCTGGGCAGCGGCCTGCAAAAAACTAAAAAAAAAAAAAAAACATCACAGAGAGGGACCCAGGCAAACATTTACATGTTTTTTCTTTTAAATGCAAGTTTAAAATTTATTTGGCATCTTGGCAATTGTAGTTGGCACAATAAATCAGATGCAAAATTTTTAGTCTGTACTTTTTTTTACTGACATTTTTAGCCATCATTCTAAGATTATATGGTTAATTGCTAATCATGCTTTCTGGGTTAACTGTTTAAAATTTATTACATTTTATCAAATATTTTAATATTTAAAACTACTCAGTTGTTGTGAATAATATGTTAAATTTTCATCATTGTTGCATAAATCATATCTAGCTTTTAATAGTAAATGTTTTAATGATATTTTTAAATACCTAATAATAATATAAATATGTTTTAAAAAGTTATTTCATTATTCGTTTATATTTATATTTCATTTTAAAGTTTTTAAATTAAATATAAATACTTTAATATATTTCTATCAGTTAGCTATTACTATGAAGACTGTATACTTTTGTAAGTGATTTCAGATCAAATATATATTTTTTGAATTTATTAAGCTCCTAAAAAATTTAGGAATTCAAGCAATTAATAAAAAATTTAGGAATTGATTTTAATTTTAGTAAATGTCATTTTCTTGGTGTGAAAATACCACTTCCATTGGCACCATGAACGGATCGATGAATAAAATTTATCATCTATAAAAATATAATTGCGTGTAAAAACAAATATACCAATTATGAATTATAAAGCTATTTAAAATAAACAATTATGTTTTGGTTTGCACTTAATTTTATATCATAAAAATTAGTTTACTTTAAAAGATGAGAAGAGGCTTGTTTTTTTCTTAAACAACTTTTTTTTCTAATTTAACTTTCAACTCTAAAAGTAAATCATTAATGCTTAGCATCATCTTTGGTGCAGTCTCACTCCAACAAGAGGTATCGCCAAAAATAGCTCTCTAAGTGAGAGCCTCATGGCTACACAGATATTTTGAAGGCATTTTCATTTACTTATTTGTTATGTCAAATATTTTATTTGATTATTTTTTCGTGTTTCTTCATTTGACCTTTTCAGCATTTGGTGCAGATGTTTGCCTGGTGCCTGGGAGAGGCTTTAATGGTCGCTCCTAAAGGTTTTCTTTGACACAAAATCTATGGGGAAAAATTCCATTCCTTTGGAAAGTGGTCATAAATAGGGTGGTCTTACCTGGGGGTTTCAGTGTATTATTAGAACATCCAAAAATAAAATTTAAAGATTAGAACTGAATTTCTGGGGAATAATTTTAATTTATGTACCTAAATTTATAAATTTAATTTAATTTTTCATCATTTTAATTTAACTTTTTCGGCATCCTTCACGCCTACAAAATAATGAACTAAAATGCATTTAGTATCCTTTTAGAATTATTTAACTAATTAAGGCTGTAATTTATCGTTGACTTTTGAAGTTATTTTTTTCAAAAAAATACTATTTTACTATCAAAAATTATAAATATTTTGCATATTTTTAGACGAAATGTTGGCTATGCATCAGTATGTAATTCTGTGGGGCAGACCGCTGGATATTTTCTTGGGAACGTAGTTTTCCTTGCTCTTGAATCTGCTACTTTTTGTAACACTTATTTACGATCTGTGCCTCAACCTGAAGGTTTAGTCACACTTGGCAGTAAGTATGAGAATAATTGAAATATTGTTTTTCCTGTATAAATTTGTAAACTTACCATATATAGTATCTAAAATTGTGTATTGCCATAAAAAGATTGTTGATGAATAAAACTTAGTTTCCAAGCATTTGTAATTGTAATTAAAAACCTTTAACATTTTATTCAATATATTTGAAATTAAAATATGTATAAGTTTTAAAATGCATAGTATTTTCAATTAGCTTGAGATTGAAATTGATCATTAACTACTATTCATTTGAAAATATTACATGAAACAAGGAGGTTGATTTAATTTAATTACTAATTCAAATTTGTTAAAGTATATTACTTCAAACTGAAAATTATGTTTAATGTAATAAGTATGTTTTTTATTTAATGTTATTAAAATATACAATAATTTATAGATAGCAATCCTTCTATATGTGCATAGTTTGAGTGAAAAATTGAAATAGTGGATATATTTTTATTAAATAAACCTGTGCCAAATATTTAAATTTACCATAATTTCTGGCACATTATCAACAATATATCTGTTGCCCAATTTCAGAAAAGTTATGAAAAAGATTCTGTCATAAGAATTTAATTATGATGTTTAATGATTCAGAATTCTCCCTGGGAATAAAAAAGGACAGGGCGCTTTGAGATTTGAAAGGGCACTCACTTAACATTGTAAATATTTATCAAAATGTGTAATATTATGTAATAACTGGATTTTATACTCCAAATTTTTTTAATTATTACTATTTTATGAGTATATTTTAACTGATAATTCTCTCTTATAATCAAAATAACAGAAAAATTTGTGGTTTATAAAAATAAATAAAGGTCTGCTGGAAGGCAATCACAACTGAAAATTATAAGAAAATAAACATTTAAGATGCATTTTTTTAAAAAGAAAGAAGAAAAGGTATTTACTTAAAAAAGAAACTAGTTTTAAAATTTAAAATCACTTAAAAAAAATTATTAATTTCTCTCTCTCTCTCTCCCCCCCCCCTCCCTCCCTGGAAAAAAAAGATACTTATAAAAATTTAACTAGTTGAGAATAATTCTAACAAAGTATATGTATATTCGCAATAGTAATCCGAATTAAACCTATAAACACAGATAGTTTTACCATTGTGTAATTATTATTTAAAAACAATGAATAAATTTTTTTCAAATTGGAATCTGAATAAAAAGGCAGCGTATTTAAGGGATGGCGGCTTACTTTTACAAAGAGAGCACATTTATTGGGATCAAATGGCAAGCAGGGTGGGTTGCTCTTCAGAAACAGCTTAGGGAGAACACTGAATGATTTTTATAACATTTTTACTTTCATTCATATTTAACGCTTCATTCTTAAAAGCTACCACTATTGGAATTTTGCATTTAAGGAAAAATTTATTACAAATTGTCAAGCATTAAGACAATATTGATGTACTTTACCAAAATATTAGTATTTTAATGGAGTGTATATATATATAAATACATACATACATGCCTGCCAACTTTTTCGTGGATGATTTTCGCCAGTGGTAGTAAAGTAGAATTTGTATTACAATCTTAGACTGAAACAAATGCTGTATTTTGAAAAAGCTTATACGAACTACCATGTCTATATTACATATTAATGTATATGCTTGATTTTTTTTAAAGTAGCGGTGGTCAAAAAGATAATAAATTAAGTTTATAAATGCAAGGAATATAGAAAAAGCATACATTTTACTACCACTTTAAATATAGTAATAAAATTTTACGCCGAATGCGTGAAAGTTGGTAGGTATATGTGTGTGTGTCAGAAATCTAATTTATGGGTACAAGCTGTATAGCACTGGTTGTACCAAATTTTAAAAAAAAGAGGAAATTGAAATACTATAGAGATGTTAATGAAAATACGCTTTTAATTAAAACTATTTATTCTTTAGGTTACAACTTTTGAAATATTTCGTCTCAAATAAGATTTAAAACAAATATTACTTGAAACGCTTAAAAAAATATTGTTTACATTGATAATAAAAACTGAAATTAAAAATTTCATAAATACATATTTTTATGAATTTTGTCATGTAAGATATCTTTTGGTTAACACAAAAAAGTTAGATTTTTGACCTCTACATATTTTTTTTTAATTAAAAGGTTTATTTTTTAGATAATTCTCTGTTCCAAAAAAATTTTATATTTTATGAATTGATTTATTGTATCATACGAATGATTCTTATTCTTTTAAAAACTGAAAATATTGTGATGTTTTACAAATAATTGCTGGTGTAGTCTTTTAATTTTTATATTCACTCCTTTTCAAAACAAAGGTGCTACTTATATTTCTCTTGCAGATTTATCTAAAAGCACATAATGTTTAACATTTAATATATAAAAATGAAATATTTTAGGTTTCCTAAGATTTTGGGGCATTGTATTCTTCATAGCTACTTCTATGATTTTAGTCTTTAAATCAGAAAGAGAAGACAGACATTCCAATATATTAGGAATAAGAGATACATATAGTCAGCTTTATCGTATTTTATGTCTGAGAAATATCTGGCTAATTGTGACATTTCTATTAACATGTAAGGTAAGTTTTTTTTTTTTAAAAAAAATCCTATATAAAATAGCATTGTATTTCAATTTTACAAGGCAAAGTTTTTTTTTATAATTCTTAATAATTATTCATAAACTTATTGTACTTTAAAAGTAATTGTGTCCTTTAAAGATTTTTCTTAACTTTTTTTCTAAAAAAATTATTGAATTTTTTCCACTTCTCTTTTATTAATACCAATATATAAATATATATTAGAATGTTAAGTTCATATTGTTTGTTTAGTAAAGTTCTTATCGCTTCATTTACGTAATATATTTATGTACACTTTCTCTTAGTAATTAATTGAATGATATATAATAATCTTTCAATAAATCTTTAAAACTTTTTTTTTAATTTTTAATAATTATTCGTAAACTTATTGTACTTTAAAAGCAATTGTGTCCTTTAAAGATTTTTCTTAACTTTTTTTATAAAAGAAATATTGAATTTTTTCACTTCATTTATGTAATATATTTATGTACACTTTCTTTTGGTTATTAATTGAATGATATATAATAATCTTTTAATAATTTTGTTTTTGTAATTTTAACAAGTCATGTATTAAAACTGCAAGTATTCTCCAAATTCTAGTTTTTAAATGTTAATTTTTTTGTTTTATAGATTGCATTTGCTGCTACTGATGCAGTTACAGGATTAAAACTAATTGAACAAGGTGTCAAGAGGGAACACCTGGCTCTTATAGCTATTCCTATGGTTCCTATACAAATACTTCTACCAATTGTCATCAGCCGTTACACGACTGGTCCTAAACCCTTAGCCGTGTTTTTGAAGGCTTATCCTTATAGGTATAGTTAATTTAAACTTCCGTAACCATAATCTTATTATGTAATTCTATTTTTAAGTTTTCTATTTAGCATGTTACTACTATCATTCAGGAAAGATGTAGCTTTTATTGAAAACCATAAAAGCAATGTTTTAATGCAGTGAAAACAATTCCTGACATTAGTACTGATTCATTAAAGTATTATTCAGACTGACATGAAAGTATAATTTAAAGTAATTATAGTATTTTAACTAATTGGTTTTTTTCACTTTTTTATTATAAAAATTTTTTATAAACATATGTTTCATTACAGACAGTTTTCTTGTATTTGTTTCTATTTTTTAATTTCTAAGGAAAAGCAATTGTTAGAAAAAAGAATATTGTGTTTTATCAGCAATCTATCTTGTGCAAATATGAAGGTATTTTTCTTTCTTTTCATAATAAATGGTGGGAAAACTTTTATTACAGTCTCAGTAATTTAAAATTTTTTTGAAGCTGTAGAATTAAAAAAATTTTTTTTAAAAAAAACGTTGACTATTGCAGAGTATAATTGGAGTCATATTCTGCATAAATGTTAGCTTTATCTGTTAATGTTAGCCTTATCATATTTTAATTTTTTTTCTTCTTTTTTTTAGGTTGATGTTTGGGTTATTATTTGCATATGTTGTTTGGTGGACTAAGACTGTTAGAACTATAACTGGTGATTTCCCATTTTACTATTATGTCATTATAACCATTGCTTATGGTTTGCATCAGGTAAGTTGATTAAAAGAAATCATGAAAATCTATATTTGCTACCTGTAAAATATTCTTTTGGATTCTTTTTCTTGAGTGAAATGACAAATACATTTAATTTATCAATATGGAGAAAGGCTGGGTATTATGAAATCATTGTCCTTAATATTTATTTCTTATATATCAGAGGTAGGATTATTGTTTTAGTGAAGAAATATAACATCAAAACTGCATTTCATTTAACAATCAAGTTAGTTTTGATATTTGAAATTAAAATTAACACATTTTAATAAATAAAAAAAATTCTCATTCAAATATTAATTCATGACCCCTAATACAGCAATTTCTTTTGTTCCATTTTTGACAAGAGTTCTTAATTAAGGGTGGTTTATACTTTGTGAAATTCATTAACTCTAGTAATTTTTGGTGGAAATTATTTATTTTAAATAATGTTTTTTTTTCTGTTTTCAGATTACAGTTTACAGTTGTTTTGTTGCCTTGATGTCATTTTTTGCTCAAATAAGTGATCCAGCAATTGGCGGTACCTATATGACTCTATTAAATACTATTTGTAATCTTGGTGGAAACTGGCCCACAACTTTGGCATTGTGGTTTGTGGATGGCCTCACATACAAAAGTTGTGAAAATTCTATGTTCAGTTGTGATACCAAAGAATTAGCGCAGGTATATTATTTTAACAGCATTTTTTTTATGTTGTCTGAAATGTGAATTGTGTGAGAAATTACATTTGGGAACTTTTTTTTTCTGGGAGATTTTTATCGGATATTTTCACATAGTTGATTTCAAATCTAAACTCTGTTTCTCTCTCCAAGCTAGTTTTTTTTTAAAATGACGTTTTTAGTTGCAATGTACAAGTTAAAAAACATTAAATATATGACAGGGTGTTGCGTAAATGTTATGACTAGCTTCTAGGGGGAGTTAAGGCATATAAACAGGATTAAAATTGCATAATAACCTATGCCCGAAAAGTCATATGCGGTTAGGGGATTTCCCTATTATGGACTGTTTCTCTGTGTTCTTCTCAGCATCCCTAGCCGTGTACAAGGACATTTCTGGGCATGGGTTCTTATGCAGTTTATTCCTGGTGATGTGTCCTTAACTCCCATAGAAGTTTGTTGCCACATTCATACGACCCCCAGTTACATATAACGCTTTTGAATGTTTACATTTTAATTTTTAAGAAAACTAAAAATGTAATCTTAAAAGAAATCTGTAGCTTTAAGAGCAAACTAATTTCAGAATTCTTCACTCCTGATTAGGCAAAATTAAGTATATTTATAAATACAGCAAAAAAAAAAATTCCCAAGTGTTATTTAAAAGATTTAACAATTGATTAAATTTTAACCTTTAACTAATTGTTTTTTGTGAAGTTGACAAAATCGTTGCCAAGAAAGTTTTAGGATGCAAATAAGCATTCTCCAATCTTTTTAATATTTATTTGTAGCATTGTGCTTTTTAGTGGGTTTATTTATTAATGTACTTTTAAGTATTTATATAGCTACAAATTGACATTTTACTTGCTATTTATTGTGTTATATATTTTGTAATGATGCAGATATTTTGTATTAAGCAGAATGAAACTTCCTAAGGATGATAAAAATAGATAAACACACCTACTTTAAGATTCGTTTATCAAATACAAGATTGGTACAATATAGGGTCTGTAACTTGGTATAACTGTAAAGGTCAGGGAATTTAATTAAAATTCAAAAAATTAGGAAAAATGAATTAATTTGAGTTCAAGGTACCTGAAGCTCCAAAAAGAAAGAAAAATACTCCCCAAAAAATTTATTTTTGTAAAAGTTATTATTATTATTTTTTTTTAAAGTTTATTCTCAACTCAAATAGCAAGTATAAATGTTTTGTAATAAATCTTATGTTAACGAAAAAGGCATAATTGAAAATTTATCCAAAAGGATGGATTTTACTATATGTTATGCAAACTAAAATGAAAAATGTGAGTAAATGAACGTACTAATGCTAGAATTCTTGTATTAGTAAACTACATACTGCAATTTATGACACTGGTTGCAAAAATTAAGTAAATTTGATAAATTCAGTTTGTAAAAATTAGGGTATTTTTTTACTGAGCGTTTGTGGCCACCTTTATATGTTTAAGTACTTAAAATTACAAGCAAGTTTTATATTATGAATTAAACATTAGAAATAAAATTTTGTAAATTCATAATTTTGAACAATAGAATTCTTTGTTTTCGGGAATTAATTTTTTTGAAATTTATTATATCTTTATTCTTTTTATGTAATTCTTTTATCATGATATCAAATAAGCAAAGATTACATTTTTAATATTTAGATGATACTTATTTATCTGTCCTGCATGTAAGCACTTTTGTTTTGTTAATAAAAATTGTTTTTGCTTACTTTATAAATTCTTTTGTATTTAGTAGTTAAAAGCTGTGTTTCCAAAATCATATTAATTTTCATTATAATTTGTTTTACCATTATAACAAAGAAAATTTTTAAAAAAAATATTCAAAAAAATTTTTTTTAATTTATTATAAGGATTTTAGTATTATTTCTTTATTGTGGTTTTATGAGGAATCTGTAATTTGTTTTATTGTAATAGAGGGTCATGAATTGATCAGAAGCTATTTTCATTTTTATAATATTCATTTTATATCTGACTGCTTCTACCACTGAGCTGTGATAGCATAGTTAAGACGATAAACTGTCATTGCACTGTGGTTCTATCTCAGTGTTCACTGGTGACCTACCCAGCTGCAGATGAATGAGCACCAACTTGTTAAGTAAGAAAAAACCCTGATAACAGGAATCCTCCGGCACGGTAGTGGGTGTTGCAGATTAATACAAAATCGGCAAATTAGTTTTCATTAGTTTTTTTTCCTTTTTTTTTTTTTAAAGCAAACAAACAAGTAAGGAAAAATACTTCTTTTTAAACATCTCTAAACTTGTTTTTCTAATAAAAATTAAAAAACTGAATTGAGATAACATTGCAAAGAAACAAAAGCTAAAGTTTTTTTCAGTTACTTGATTACAGACTTACTAGGTAAGGATTTCTTCCATATTTTTGTATCATTATATAAAATTCTACTTAAATATAAACAATAATATAAACATAATTTCTATGGACCTTATATTTGTAAATTTTGCTACATGTATATTAGATTAAGCTGAATTTTTACACTAATCTCTGTCTGACTGCATTGAGGTGGGAGACAAATTTGGATTTACGAGGATTGTGCTGCAGATTCGCTCATCGAATTCTCCTTCTAGGTGCAATCCTGTCCATACCACCACCGTTAAGAATTGGTCTCTTAATTGTGGAACCATAACTTTCATGACCCTGGCTATAGCTAGTTTTTTGTATTATCTACATCTTAAGAATATCGCAGATTAGGTAGTCAAAAAATCACTATCAATTAAACAATGTATCAAATCAATACTTGTCAATTTTCCAATGCTATATAATTTCTAATATCTTATTTTGGTTTCTAGAAGTGTACTAATGCTGGTCATGAATGCCTAACAACAGTAGATGGTTTCTATTTGGAAACAATTCTCTGTACCATTTTCGGATTTATATGGCTTAAGTGGGGTAAAAACGTAATTCATAGATTACATCGTTTACCAATGTCAGCTTGGAAATGTCCCAGGTAATTCATTTTATTATTATACTGTTTAAAAAGATTATGGATTAAATAATATTTGGTGTTTATTTTATTGTTGGTTTGTTTTTTCTAATTTTTTGATAATTTTAACAACAAAAACCCTATTTTTAATATTTTTTAGTAATACTTGATGAGCAAAAATCAAGCTATAAATTAAACGCAAATGAATTAGCGCTTTTTTATTTTAATTAAAATATGGGGCAAATATCGACAAAATTAAGTAAATAAAAACAAAGAAAATAATATGCATAAAAGTTAATACGCCTTTTAACTCATGAAAGAGTTATATGTTAAATCAAGAAAGAAATTAATCTTTTTACAGATTTTTGGCAAAATTAAGAAATATTTTTTATGTGTGAAATTTAAATAACTAATGTGACTGTGTATTTTTATTTTGTGCCCCTCAAAAAATTGGACACTTGCGTCGCCCATGATTTAATAGGACTAAAACTGTTTTGGTTTTCAAACTGATTTTATGTCTTTTCAATTTCATGTTATCTGATTTTATTAAAGGAAATTGTCTTCCTTGTTAATTGCATAGTAAATGCTAATTCTGCTTTCAGATGTATACATTTCTATTAAAAAAAATTTAAAACGTAGTTATGTTTCACCACAACTTAACAAATAATTAAATTATTTGTCTTATTCCTGATTTTTAAATAGTTTCTGTGATAGTTTCTTTTTAGTAACTAATACTTTACTCATTTAAGCAGTGGAAATGGTGTAGAAATAATTATACGTTTAATAGTTACGAAATATTTTATATTGATTTACCGTCAAGCTATTTTTCTTCCTATTTTGTTTTCCCTCTTATACTCATCATTGAACACAGAATCGGTATTCTATTTATGGGGCAACATTGGCCCATCAAAAGTGGGTATTATTTTAAATCTTATTTAGAAATTTCATTATATATTTTTTGTTACAATTATTATTTGCTTTAATCTGGCATTTCGGTAATGAAATGTATCAATATTTGTGTAAATTTCGCAATATTTTCTTGTTTATCACTTAATCTTGTAACTAATGAGTTAAATGGATAAGAATTTTAAATAGTATTTGTATAAATTAGCTTTAAAGTTTGTACACTTAATAATTTAAACAACGATTATGTTTTGCATTCATCTGCAAGCATCACATTGGAAAAATCTTGAAACTCTTAAAATTCATTTAAAATGTTTTAGCAAATGCTGCTGCAAAAGGAGTTTTTCTAAAATTACTCATTGTTACTGAATGCGCTTGGAAGTCCACACTCAATGATTCTCACTTATTGCCTTCAACTGCTAAGTTTTGTGAAATTTAAAGACCTAGCAAATTAAATTAATAAAGTGTAATTAAATGAGATTAAAATACGATCTTTCTTTGTGAAATCTATTTTTTTCCCCAAAACTATTTACTACCTTCTTCCGCTAACCTCTTCATTTTTTAAAATTATCAAACAATTATAAGTAGATTTTAATAGGTGGATTTTCTGTATTTGCCCCCATCCTTTTCGTTTCACGAGACATAATTTAAAGCAGCATTGAACCATTTAATGTACTATTCAACTTCAGTTTAACACTGCTTACTGCATCAATCGTAACACGTACAAGTCTAATGTTTTTTTTATTTGAACAATTTTTTTCTCTATATTTGCAACTGTCCCTATTTGTTTAGTTTTCTTTAAATTCATCTTTCATTCATTTTTAGATTTCCTGTATATGGTAAAAAAAATTTGTTCTTGTTTTTTAATATTTTTTCTACAGTACAAATTCAAAATAGTTTTTACTATAGATCGAAAGCCTTCTTCTCCATTCTGTGCTATTAAAAAGTTAACGACTTTTTTTTCCTGTAAAGTTTTATCATTAATGTACAAATTTTTTCGTTAACACCCCTAATGAGTCAGTACACTGAAACTTTAAATTAAAAGTTACTTAAATGTCAGTTATTTAATACTTAAAGGTCATTACTTTAATTTTTGAACAGTTTATTAACATTTTTCTACACCTCTCTATCACTTAAACTTACCTGTGTCCAGTGAGCCATTATGTGAGTTTTGAAGTTAAAATATTTTTTAATAGTTCAATATGTTTTTCTTTTTACTCTATTAATATAAATTTTTTTTTTATAAATATAAAGGTGAAGACAAGTAAACTTATCACTATCCAAAAATTAACTCATATTTGCTCATGCATTTTTGTTTTTCTTTATTTACTAAAAGAAAAAATGTTTTTGTGCAATAAATTTTAATGTTTGTTGTATGATTTTTGCTTTGAAATATTTGTTGCATATTTGTTTTAATTTAAAAAATTTAAATGCAAATTTGTATTAGTTTAATTAGCTAAAAACTTTCCTATGTAATTAGAAATTGTATTTGTTCAGTTAAGTGATTATTTATAATAATAAATTATATTCTGTTCTGTACTTAATTTATTTTCTTGCTCTTAAAATCTATGATGTGAATACTCCAAATATTTGGGATTATCATGCAATTAAAGATGTAATATAGTGCAAATTCAGTTAAATGTAAAGTTTAATTAAAGCATACTGTTTCTTTTTTTCAACAAAATTATTTTTACTTTCCTTTTTATCTTTGTGATCATGTTATTGATGTCTATTAAATTATGAAAATATTCTCCCTTTTTTTTTCTTTCTTTCTTCTTAAAGGTTATTTGACCAAAATATCTTTCCTCGTGGATGTGTGTTAATTTTTAAACATTATAAACTGTTTAATTTTTTTAAATAAGTGTTAGGCTGGTATAGAAATTTTTAAAAAATTTGTTCTGCTAAAATTTAAAGTAAATTCTCATGCTAATTAGTTTTGATAACATACCTTTCCATATTTAGGATCCATTATATTAAATAGTTTTTTTTTGTTTTGTTTTGTTTTTTAAATTTTGCATTATAGTTTTTATTTATGAAATTTATTGGCTTAATATTAGGATTTTTCTTGTCCTAAGAAAAAGGTAAAAAAAAAATGCATTGTGCCTATCGAAGGCAAATAAAACAAAATACATCTCAATTATAATTTGAAAGTTTGGTAATAAAAATATTTTTATGTGATTAAAATATTTCTTTTATAAGCTTCTTCTTTAGGTCAAAGTTGTGAACACAAAAATTTTACAAAAATCATAGACATCCTAATTTTTGTCACTATGTGCAAGTAAAAATACTCTGTTTTTCTTGATATTTTTAATTTTTTATTTCATCAAGTTTTTCTTCACAAATTATATTTTTTTAGCTCTTTTAGAGCAAGTGCTAAGTATTTTAGAGCGAGTAAACAGTTAGAGTTACGGAGTGAAAATCAAACTACAGTTATAACAATCCTTAGTGATATTAGGAAACTTGCATATTTTATTGCCTCACACAATTTTATGTATAATAATGAAAATCTTTGTCGATAATCATGACTGATCTGTGTTGACAATGTTTAGGAATTATGTTTCATTATTCCTATTCACTTGAGTCATATAGCGGTGGGATATTTATTTTTTTTGTCTGATTATTTCTCATTTACTGCAGTATAAAATCTTAACCTAGTTCTTGTTTAATACAGGATTAAATTTGTGAGAATAATCTTCTATTAAAAAAAACATGATCACAGAAAACACTGAAATGGACAAAAATAATATATATTATTTTAGAATTTAATGCATTTTAAGAATTAATACATTTTAAACATATATTATAATTAAGTAATATACTGTAAGGAACACTTAAAAGAAAAGCATATGTAAATAAATCTGTTATAAAAATTAAGTGGTAGGGAGCAAACCAAACATTCACCAATAGGGGAAACAATAAAAGAGTAAAAATAATCTCACCAATGACCCAATTAGTGGATATGGAGTCTCCTCTGTATATTTTTATAAAGGTGAAGACAAGTAAACTTTTCACTATCCAAAAATTAACTCATATTTGCTCATGCATTTGTGTTTTTCTTTTTTTACAAAAAGAAAAAATGTTTTTGTGCAGTAAATTTATAGTTTTATAAAAGGGAGAAATGTTCTTTGAAGGCATTTGACATTTATAATCTTTTGTTAAATTTCACATGTATTTCATTCACCAAATGTTAAGACACTAGCACATAGTAAATAATTATAAATCGCACTCTGTCTTTAAATTTGCTTCAAATTTTCTCCCTCCAGGGCGTCTTGGTCATCTCCTTGGTAATATTTTCGTGATGTAAATCAATAAAAAACCGTCGACCAACTCTTTTCTACCATTTCCAGAGCCTTTCTCCCATTTCTTGACCTACTGGCCAACCTTCTAATTTTATTTTATTTTATAACCGTTGTTGAACAGCCCATTCTCCACATTGGTGACCTGCTGTCGTGATATGAACGCGCTTTCATCGAAAGTAATGTCCACTTAAATGAATTGTCTACATTGAACAGTTGACTTGCTATTTACAGTTAATGCGTCTTCGTCTTCCTCACGCTGTTGCTTCTTGGTCTCATTTACACACAATGGAATCCTGCACACACTCGACTATAGTGTGGCTTTCAGGAGAACTCCTCCAGACAGCTGTCTCACGTCGTGGCTGGTACCATGGTTACGAGGAAAAGTCACTTTGAATAGGGGCGTGGGGTGAATAGTTTTGTTTTGATCTTAGCATAAGTCAGCGTAAGTAAACCAATCAACACCTTCATTCCTCCATTGCACCCCCATTAGAAATGTGCTCTCACTTTTACCATAGCAGCAGACAGTCCTAGACTTTTAGTCTGGAGGAGTTCTCCTCAAATCCGTACAATAGCAACACAGGAGAGACCACGTGCACAACCATGAACTTAATACATCTCTCACCACAAGCGTTCGAAATCCAGTGAACTTAGCTCGGCTCTCTCAATCTTTCACAAATACGGCAACTAGTAGTATCCGTCCATCAAATTCATAACTACCACTGTAATTATTGAACACCAATTTACTAGCATATAAGACATGCTAACTCGATTCAATCTTGTCTTAACTTTTGATAGATGAAGGTTTGCATTGTCCATAGATCCTCCCGACAGAGGGGTTTGAGCTAACTGAGTGTCTTGAATGATTAGGGTGGACTGTTATACAGTTAATATACTAATATGCCCCTACATTGTGTTTTCCTTTATTTTCATAAGATTTGTATTGAAGTATTTCTTAAGTAAAAAAAACTTGATATCTTACCTTATTTCAATAGGTAACACTAAAATTGGACAAGGGTTGTACAAGCCTGATGAAATTTATTTGCATCTTTCATAAACTGATCAATCATGTTCTGGTTCATGGAATCATCCAGTACTGAATGTAACTTTTGTCTTTGAAAGAATATTTTGTATATGTTAGTATACATTGTTTTTTTCTTTCATCTAGCTGTTATTCCGGTGCAATGCAAAAAGTGTGATATATTGACACCTTGTCAATATTTTACAGTCAATTCTCACAATTATATTGGTGCACAATTTATGTATATTATAGCATTTTTGTTTGATGTTATTTTGTAATAAAATGGAATGAGAAAAATCTGAATAAAATTATATTATTTAATGATGTTTTTTACTTCATTTTTGACAAGGATCTTAAATTGTAATAAGAGTGGTAATTATGAAGCTCCATGTTTAAAATATGTATACTACAATTTTCATAAGAGCTTAGTTGAGCATCAAAACATAGAAACAGTTATTTTTAAAAACTATGAAACATCCCATATGTTGTGAATTAACTTTCATAGATGTTGCTCTATAATTATTAGTCTTTTTTTCTAAGGTGTATCTAAAAGAGATTTAAGTAAGCTTTTTTTACAAGTTTGTTAATTTTTTATAAGTTTGTAATTAAGCTTTGCTCATAGTTTTCATAGTGGTAAGTGTTTTTTTAATATTTTTCAAACAACGGGAATTGTGTATGAAAATAATTCCGCTGACAGTTATTATTAGAAACTCAAACGACTTTTTTTTGCACAAAATCTATTGCTTTTTATACATTTAAATAAAGCATTGATTTGTCATTTTATAGTAAAGAAAAATATGGTGACCGAAGATATTAAAGAATAATTTAAGATTTTCTCTCTTCTGTAAATTCTAGAGTAAACATGGTACACTTTTTTATTATAAAAAATATTTTTTGGAATCTTATAACGGAAACGTAATTTTAGGGATATTTTTTAATATAGGTAATGGAGAATAAATTTTAAAAATAATTTTTGATTGGAGATATTTTATTAGCTAAATTTATTATATATTCAATTCGAATCTGCAGACTTCAAATAAAAGAAAGAAAATGACATTTATGATCAGTTGGACAGAGAGCGAATCTCTTCATTTTCTGTGGAGTTTTTTTCTAGACTTAACAACTTTTTTTAATACATACTATGAAAAAAATTGTCAAAGCATATTTATAATCGGTGCATTAGTTGGATGGAAATGCCCTGAAATACCGTTTCTAAATATATTAGTTGAGCTCCTAAAGAGCATAGGTGTAGCATCAGAGGGGCACTTACCCCACAATATTTGCCAAACGCAAATTTTGCCGTAGTTGAATGCATAATTAAAAAAAAAAAATTTCTTTTAATCACTGAAAAAAAATTTACATCCACTATTGTAATTTTTTTTTTTAAATATCTTTTTCTGCTTATTAATTTTCTTTTTTTACCTAGTTTGGCCTATTTTAATCTGTTTATCAGAGATAAAAGGTCACTTTTAAAAAGATGAAGATATTTTAAATTATTGGCTTAATAATCGTCTGCTTTAAGACGCTATTTGGGCATTTTTGTTCGATGTACTAACTCCTTGATTCTGGTAAGAGCAGCTGTTTAAAAAAGCAGGTGAAGTGATATTGTTTTTTTTTAAAGGGTGAAAGAAGTTGTTGATTACTAATTAAACCGCAATGCACCCATAAGTTTGATCTTTCAAAACAAGATCATTTGTTTAATTTAAAATTTGAATTTTAACACTCTTAAGGAAAAGACTTTTTAAGAATTTTCTTTTTTATCAGTTTTTTCAAAATAATGCATTTTTTTTTTTTAGGTAAGTGAAACATTTTTATTTTAAGATTATAGAAACATTATTTATTTAAATTGTATTAATAACATTAATGTCTGGTAATAAAACGTAATTTTATTTTACAAATTTATTGTTACTTTTTTGATAGACTTATTAATTTTATCTGGATAAAACGTTAATTGATATTTTGAATTCAGATGTTAAATCAGAACAAAACAGGGTATTAATAATAATTGCAGAAGGAATAACCCTGCAAATGGTAGGGAAGAAATAAAATCCGGGCCTATTAATGTAACAAATATCGCTAAAAAAAATAAATTTTTTATATTAAACTCTTTAAAAGTTAACGCTTCTATGAGAGAAACTCTTTACCATACAATCATTTATACTTAAGGTAGAAAAAGGGCATTATTAACTATTATAGTTAACAATGTACTAATTAACTATGAAATATTCATAGTTAATTACATAATAATTCAATTCAAGCAGTCACTGGCAGCAGTGATCTTGCCACATGTTGAATTAAAATAAAGAATGGAGTGAAAATGTCTTTATGTTCCTCATAATTTCAATTTCGGCTTTATTTTTTTTATTAATTAGAGTTTTGTTTATTGGACTGATTCCTTTGATTATTTATTTTTAGTCTTAAAAATTATTTATATAGTGCACACCTTATTTATATATGAAAACGCAAATTTAAAATTGTTTGGGAAATACTGTTAATAACGTATTACAGATAGTCATATCTACTTAAATCACAGTTTATAATAAAATTGGTTCTCTGTTCTCAATTTATAATAAAATCGATATTCTCACCTCTTTTACAATCCATATGTTGTATACCATTTCAGATTATTGTTTTATTATGCTGTTAGTGTTGTCTTTTTAAAAAATGAATTCTTTTCTTTATAAAATATTAATCACGATGAAATACTTGAAAGATTCACTTTATGCCCGGAAATATATATATATATATATATTTTGAGTACTGAAGTGAGGGGTCAGTGACCACAACCATCAAGTTAAAGAGGGCATCTAATTGATTAATTACATCGATGTTTTAAATCTCTTACTAGAATTAATTTTATCAGGAAATTAACTTTTTTACATATGACATAAATACTTGATTCAAGCAAAATATTACGTGATTTTTCAAAAAATTTGACTGAAATTTTGGGACAGTAAAATGTAAATTTTTTTTTTCTATTTCAGAAAGTTGAAAAATATTTTATTAGAAATAATAAATTCTTTATACATTAAATTAGGTTTTAAAATTTTTGAGTTTTGTTTTTTCTTTCCTATTATGAATAAAAAAATTTTGATAAGGAAATTTTGATTCCCCCATTTTAGATATACTTAAAGGATAGTTTGCCTCAAGCATCCACACACCTCAGCACATTAGGGAAATATTATAATTTATTTAAATTTTGAGCTGCATGTCCATATCAGCTTTGAAAGAAGGGAACTCTTCCCGATTTCGAAAATTGAAATTTTAAAAAATTTTATTCCATTTTTTTTTAACCCATTTCCTAGTAATAATTTTAATTAAAAGATGGCAGCACTACAATTTTAAGTGTCTGTGTATCCTTTCCCCACTTTTTTTTTTCTTCCTACCAAAAGTTAATATAGATAGATAAAACTAAAAAAAAACAAAACAAAAAACACGAAATGCTCTATCGGAGCGGTATAATTGAAAGTCATTGCATCGCCTATCGCCGTAATATAAACAGAAAAAAGTTTGCGTCAGCGGCGATTGGTTCGGAAACGTTAGGAATTATGCAACTTCGTCAGAATCAGAAAGCAAGTGAATCGGATTTGAAAGGTAAATCTTTTCGTAAGCCTTTTATTACTTAGTAAAAAAATTTATTGGCCACGTAAAGTATATTACGTAGACGTAAAGCATAATACGTAATTATTTTCTTTCTTTTATGTGAGATAAAACTTGGATAAAGGTCTGCAGAATTTGGCATGGTTGATAAAACTAAAAGTAAATAAATTGGAAAGCCGATTTGATGCCAATTTAAAATCATTGAAAATTTTCGAAAATCGTTTCTATTTCTTATTTATTACCGTGAAGCTTCTATTTAAAGTAATTTATCTTTGTAATATTCGCCTATTATAAATCTGTGTGTCTGGTTAATGAAGTAAAAAAAAAATTTAAAAAAAGCAGATTTGATGAAAAATTTTGAAAATATTTTTTTCTGCTAATTTATTTTCTATTGCTACTTTTTATTGTAATTTTTGCTTGTAATGTTCTTCTATGATTAATTAGTTAATCTTTCATTATTAATCTGTAATGTTGAAGATGCAAAAAATAAAATAAAAGCAGGTTCGAAGAGAATTTTCAAAAATATTTTTTTTCTGTTTAATTTTTTTTTTATTGTTGCTATTTTTTTTGTAATTTTTGCTCCTAATATTCTTCTATTATTAATCCAGTTAATCTTCGATTATTAATCTGTTACGTTGAAGAAGTAGAAAATAAAAAATCAGATTCAATGAAAATTCTCAAAAATATTTTTTTCTTGCTTAATTATGTTCTTTTGCTACTTTTACAGTAATTTTTGCTTGCAATATTCTTCTATTATTAATCTAGTTAATCTTCCATTATTAATCTGTTACGTTGTAGAATCTGAAAATAAAAATAAAAAGCAGATTCGATAAACATTTAAAAGAATATTTTTTCTGCTTATTTATTTTCTCTGTAGCTTTTTACTTTAATTCGTGCTTGAAATATTCTTCTATTATTAATATGATTAATCTACTATTATTAATCTGTTATTTTGAAGAAGTAGAAAATAAAAGCGGATTCGATGAAAATTCGATTCGAATTTTAAACCTAAAATTTCAATTAAAAAATCTATCAATTTCCAAAAGCAAAATATTAACCAATTATTAATTAATTATTATGAATTTTGTTAATCAGAAGAAATTCCTGTTGCTCTTTGATCTGATTAAATACTTTTTCTAAATTTGTGTACTAAAATCGTAAGAAAAATATTATTAGTTTAATAAAAATTATAATTGCAGTCGAACCTTGTTATAGAGTACTATCTGCGGACCTAAAAATAGGTCCACTATAAACAGTCGTTCACTATATCCAATTTCTTTAAAAAAATCCAATCTAATATATCCCACTACGTCCAATTTCTTTTTAGTCTCTAAAAATAATATTACTGGAAATAGTGATTACGATAGTACATAATTTATTCATAAATTATTAACTGGTTTATAAATTATTAAGTATTTAAGAGAAAGTTGTTAATTTGTACATTCTATTGAAGAAATGAGTGATTTTCGCTTTTAAATGCATTTCTCCAATTTCCATATCTGCAATACATTATTTTCTATTCCTCCTTTTCTGCAGATATATATATATATATAG